AAACTTACATTTATAAGTGGGCATACATTTATAGCCAATAATTTGTTTTTAGTTTCAGGCAAATTCTTTTTTTTTTTTTTACTAGTTCTGCAATGCATATTAAAACCTCATCAACTGAGATACTTTTCTTGAATGAGTAGAACAGGTAAAGCAAGGTTATGGTTTTCAGTTTCTTGAGTGTCCCTTGAGCAGGGATAACTTCTGATTGCCTCTATCCACTAGTGGTTTGAATAGGCTGAACAGRATTTGTGGGTGGAGATCAGATCATTGCTTATTTCTAAACTAAGAGTCGTTTATTGAGCCAAGTATTTACCAGAGCCCCTTATGCTGGAGATACAGGATGGAACTGATCCTCTGATGGAATTCTTCTGGTTATCCAGTGCACAGCCATACCATTTGTTTTGATGATTTTCTACCATAAAACACATCACATGCAAATCTTTATTTGAAAGTGATGAAAATGCGCATGTATCTTGTGGAGACATCTCATACCTTGCCTCACATACTGTGGATGATGACCATCCTAACCTCATTGGGTATTTGAACACAGAAGTGGGAACCAAAGATCTTTGCTGCACAGGAACTGGACTCAACCTTATCTCCTGTTTGTCCTAACCACAAGTGTATGAGGAAAAAGACAGTCACACCATTTAGCTTTATCTTAGCTGATCTTAGCTCTATCTTTTTGCTTTTCCTGAAAGAGCTGGAGACTACAACTCTGTAAATCTTGAAAGTGTAGCTGGAGCAAGTTTAATGTAGATCATGAGAACTTTTTAAATGTTTAATGATACAAGGTTGGTGACTTCATATAAACTGAGACAGTAAGAAGGCCCCCCTTCAAACTCTAATTCTTGTAACTAAGTCAGAAATATTTCAGACATTTCACTCAGAAAAGCAGGCATAAGTTTATTGAATGGATAAACAGGGAAAGGGGACACTCTCATAGTAGATAATGGTTCCTCTGAAAGGGGAGAGAGACAGTGTGCCTTTCATGCAATCCACTTTTGTTGGGTATCCCAGAGAAGATTCCAAAGAGTCCCACCCAGGCCTACTACTTGACTTTGAACTGACACCTGGATGACATCCAATTGTCAAGTCCCCACTGCTATGATAACTTTAGGTCACCTTGGCCAATGCAACTGATTCTCATTGGATTCTTAACCATAAATTCTTGCAGATTTTAGAGCTAGGAAAAAAATATTTTTATCTCTCTGGTTTAAGAATGTGGTACATGGAAAGAGTCACAAAAGTTCCCTTCTTAAGGGTAACACAGCTTCCTCTTATGGACATTATTTTATACCTGATTTTCTCCTGCAGATAACAGTTTACTGAGGAATGTGATATACCCTGACCACTTAAGTCAGGCCGGGTTGCAGGTTAATTTCTTCATGATAGAAAAGCATGTGGGGGTCAGCACAGTGACACCCACTTTTATAGAATTATTCCCTGAACCTCATGCTCTCCCCACTCAAATCTATCCCCTATCATTTAGCAAGAAGTAGATTAGCCTAAGTCATACTATGGTTGATCCTGCATCCCAAAGACTGGGCCCCAGACAAACATCAGTTTTACCAGAGAACTGGATAGAAATGTGAATTCTCAGGTTGCAGTTCAGCCTCATTATATGAGACTCAGACTGGCTCAAAAATCTTAATTTTAATTATCCATTCAGTTGCATGGTTGGGGCTTAGAATCTGTGCCCTGATTTAGTCTCTCCTCCAAGAACACTTTGTTTCACTTTACAAAAAAAAAAAAAAAAAGTTATTATGACCTCACTACCTTACAGCTTAATTTCAGCCCTGGTGGACAGACCCTGAGATTTAAGGGGCTGGGTGCATGGATCTCTACTGCTGAGATGTTCAGGGAATCCTGTTGCAATGACCCCATTAAGACCTTCAACCACAACACCCACAGCTAAGAGTCAAATCCCTGTAAACATTTTAACTCTTACTTATCTTCCAGAGATTAAAGCAATACCCAATCTCTTGTTTAAAAATTCTAAAGGGGGCTGAATTTGTGATTCAGTGGAAGTGTGTTCTCATAGCATGCATGAGGCACTGGGTTTGATCCTCAGCACCACATAGAAATAAAATTTAAATAAATTGCATCCACCTTAAACTAAAAACAAAATATTTAAAAAAATAAAAAAAGAATCTCTAAAGGCCATGTTACTGCACTATAACCATGATTGGATGGACCATGATTTTCTTCTGTTGGTTGCTTCCATCATAGTCCCTGAAGTGTCCTGTGCTGAGGAATGTTTTACTTCAGATTCTAGGAAGTTATATGAAGCTAGGGTCTTTGACTAGAGTACTACTATAGTACTGTAGCTGGAAATTTATTTAGAATGGTACAGGTCCTCCTCCCCATACAGGACAGGCAGACTATTTCCCCACACACTTAAGTCCTGGTGGTGGCAGAGATATGGTCATAGGCACTAATGATACCAATCTGGACGAGAAAAGTAGAGACAATATTTTCTTCTCCTGAAAAGTATAATCTGGTTTTATGAACACCCAGAACATATGGCCTGCCTTTTTTGATGCTTTAACATGTTTTTAAGGAAGGTAAGTGAGAAGGTGGGAAGATATCTTTAATTTGAATCTTGGCATACAAGCCTAGCTCTACTCCAGATTATTGTGGACTTTATCTGCTAATGTATCTCTTCTGCAACCCACGTTTACAACAATGGTGCAATAGGAACAGTGCCTGCACAATTCCCACATTCCAGGTGCAGTGCCAATCCTTTACACTCACCTCTGGCAGCACTTTGTGTTCTCCAGCTCTAAGAGGGGGAAGGCCTAACAGAAAGAAGGGGCTTCAGTGCCTCCTCATGAAAAAGATCAAGTGGTACAGGTTACAGATGTAGTTGCTCTGGCCCTTTTGAGAGTTATAGATTTTCCATTGCCATAAGAGTACCTTGAGTTTGTTTTAAACATATATAGAAGATGCACATAAACACATGCACTGTCACAGAGAACAGTTTTCTGCAAGCAGTACTGAAGAGGCATTTGGGAAGCTCCAGTGTTGATCAGGAGATGAGGGTGTGGGAGATGATGGAGAAAATGGGAAAGAGACTTTCTTGTATTTGTGCAGGAAGAAAAGATGAGACAGCATAAGTGGATTTAGGGTTAGTATGTTATAATTTCAGTTAGCTTTAGGGGGCATGAGCCATCTCTGGTATTCTGGTACCTGGACATGCCATGATTAGATCAGACAAAGCTGACTTTGAATGCTGGGAGCATAATAGGAAGGATATTGGTAGTATGGAAATAATATTAGTTAAATTTCACATGAACTTGGGAAGATGGCTAACTATCTCTAAGAATTAACTCTCTACAGAAGGTCATGACTGGGTGAAGTAGAGCATGCCTGGGTGTGGTGGTCCATGCCTATAAACGAAGGGATTCAGGGGACTGAAGCTGGTGGATTTTAAGAACAAGGTCAGCCTGAACAATTTAGTGAGACCCTGGCTCACAGTGAAATTTACAAAAACACATCTAGGTATTTTCTTCCGGTATAGTAGAACAGCTGTAGAATGCTCTTGAGTTAAATCTCCAGTACCTTCCTCTGCCCCCAACATACACACACACACCCACACATACACACAGTCTAAGAATTTATCCCTTTCATGGTCAGCACAGCCCCATTGTCAAAGAAAGAGAGTCCAGGCTGTAAAAGGCTGTGGTAACACAAGTACATTCTATTTCCAGAAAAAAAAAATTAAAAAAAAAAAAAGGAAATGACTCTGTAGGTCCTTCTAGAGGCTTGCTCTCTACTCCCTCAGGCAAGAACCTGTGTTTGTGATTATTATTTTTTTGCTTCACTGACCCTATAGACCCTTGTGGGTGATGGCACAGCAGCAGGACTTTTTGTTTTAATAGAGTATCTTCCAGTGAGGCATAAAGCTTGGCCAGCAGAGCAGAGAAATCTAATGCCTGTCAACAGTCTCTTCTCTGTCCTTTGATCCTCAATTTATAACCAGGTGATACCTGCCTGGGGCAAGCTCAGGATGTTTGGGACAAGGCAAACTACTCAGGTAGAGAGATGAGGACAGGGGCCTGGCTTTGAATCTCACTGGACCTTTTTTTCCCTCTGGTATAGCACCTTGGAAGGGGAAAGTGAAAGACTGCACAGAAAATTGTGGAATGTGCAGGATCAGAAGTCAAATGTTTTTCTTGTACATGGCAAGATAATGTCCCAGGCCACCAGCTTCAGCATGGGGTTGCAGATTCTGATCTTCTGAATATGTGTGTGTGTGTGTGTGTGTGTGTGTGTACGCACGTGCGCGCATGAGTGCACGTGAATGCAGGTGAAGTCCTCAGTGACTCACTATTCATTCCTGGAATAGAAGAGCTGGAAAAACTACATCCTCAATGGGGTTTCTGCTAAGGAAGAATCTTGTCTGATGTTCAAGTACAGGCATCTGGCTCAATATTGACAACTGACCTGAGACTGGTAAGGTTTGGGAAGGAGGGTAGAACTCTTTGTCAGAGAATTAGTAGCACCACAATCAGGGCCCAATTAATAATTCTCCTGCATTCAGGATTTAGGTTTCTTCTGATAATATGCTGTGTTTCTCCTTTTGCTCCTTCTTTTGTTTCTTTCTTCCTTCCTCACTACTTGGAGACAATCATAGTGCTTAAAGCACTGGGGAGAAAATAATACATTAGAAAAATCCCAGTGTTGTTTTTTTTTTCCAGCATGTATGATCTACCCCAGAGTTCCTGAGCCTAAGCATGCTTAAACTGAAGACTTATTTTTGGCAAGGGGCTTGCCAAACATGATGATGTTTAGTAATCGTATTCCCYACCTTGAAAATAAAAAATGCCTCTAAAAGGCACAATGTCCCCTGGGTATAACCACTGCCATGGCTGAGAACTTCTGAGCAGTGAGGTATAAAGCTAAGTTCACACTTGCAGTGGAGTTTGCAAGGATGTCTCTGTGTCTTTTTGGGGTCTGTTTTATTTAGAGTTATGATCTTCCTAAGCTTTGCCACATTATTGATATTTGTATGGTTTCTCCCCAGTATGAATTCTCTGGTGTTGTTCTTTTATTAAAAGCTTTATCACCTTCTTTACGTTTCTATGGGTTTTCTCCAGTGTGAATTCTCTGGTGTTGATTAAGTCATGATTTTTGAGTCTGAATTGTTATCACAAAGTAACAATAGCTGTTATCATTTTTTAAAGAAAAAAAGCTTTTTAAATGTTGCAATTATTCAGACTTATTTACAGCAAAAACCTGAATCTGATGACCACAAAAACCTGAGTCTCTTTGTCTTTTTTTTTTTTTTTGTACTTGGGATCAAACCAAAGTGCTCTCTACCACTGAGCCACATCCCCAAATCTTTTTATTTAGAGTTAAGATCTTCCTAAGTAGCTTAGATTTTTGTGAAATTGCTGAGGCTGGTTTTGAAACTGTGATCCTCCTTCCTCAGCCTCTCCTGCTGCTTGGATGAAAATTGTGTAGCACTGTGCCCAGATGAAGACTGAGTCTTCCAGAATCCTGAGAGAACCTGAAGTACTGCAGTGGAAGAGATTTCCTCATACATTATTGACTGTTAAAAACATTATTCCCTGGAAAGAAGCACCTTGAGGAGCCGAGGATGGATTCTGGGAAAGATGTTAACTATCTGAGCTTTCACAATGTGGCTTGGGACAGACATTTCCCTGGGTGACACAACTGTATCCCTGTAAGTGTTACTGGCAGGATGGACTCATCAGTCCAAATGCTTTTCATTGACACCGTTTTAACAATTCTTATTTTTTTTCAAATGTAACACAATCATTGATTTAAAAAGTGTACAGGGCTGTGGTTTTCTTTTAAAAGAAAAAAAGGCAACTATGTTTCATCAGGAAATCACTCAGTGTTCTCAAAAACAGATGTCAGATATATGCAAGCAGAGCAAAACATTGGTACAAAGACACACAGTGCTACCCCTGGTCTGCTAGTCACTGCTATAGTATGTTTAGAGGTGAATAAATGTAGTATGCTTCTTTCTCATATGTACAAACCCTCTGGAGGATCAGGGGCTCAAAGTCATGGATGGAGTCTTAGGGCTCTCAGGGTCATAGACAGGACTACTGCTGTCTATTCAGTATGAGCATTCACACCCACTACATGTGTGAATTTAACCACAACATATATTGTATTTTGCTGTTCAAAATCTTTGTTTCTCAGCACCTGGTTTCAAACTTGTGAACTCTGCATTTGATGTAAAAAGCTAAGATATATTATTTGAAAAGCTAGAATCTGATGCCTGAAGTGTGACAAAAATATCTTTTTAATGCTTTTTATGCCCATAAAATCCTGAGTGAAATTTAACTAACCTCAGAGCAAAAGACATTGACATGCATGCTTGTCATCCAAGCAGCACAGGAGGCTGAGGCAGTAGAACCACAAGTTCAAACCCAGCCTGAGTACTAAAAGTGAGGCCTTAATCAACTCAGTGAAATTGTGCCTATAAATAAATACAAACTAGGGCTGGGATGTGGCTTAGTGTTTGAGTGCCCCTGAATTAAATCCTCAGTATACCCCCAAAATAAAATAAATAAGACATTGACAAAGGAACATGCTGTCCATCTGAGGTTATGGAAAAATCATTGATGTGATCATAGACTTCAGGCATAAGATGGTTTTATTAATGTGTCAGTTTGACAGAAAAGAGGCCTTTAAGTACAGAGATAGCTTGGAAAAAAATGATTTGAATTTAATCAATTCAAACATAAACTGATGAAAGGACAAGTGAAACTAGAGAGGTCCACCGAAGGAAAGAGGGCCAAGGGTCCAACCATTCTTCCTGCCCACTTCCATGGGCTCCTGTGTAATGGCCAGTTGGGCAAGGGTTGAGGTTTTATGGAGTGAGCACTGCAGAGCTATCTCTGGACAATTGTAATTTCTCTTTCCAGTATGAAGTTTCTGGTGACCAATGAGGTGTGATCTTACAACAAATGACTTTTACAGTCTATAGATTTGTGAGAATTGTCTCAAGTATGAATGACCTATTTCTTTTTAACAATTGAAGCAC